CTGAAATGCTAAGAAAATCAATTTAAAAAAAGAAAAAAAACCCTCAAGTCCTGTATCCCTAGGCCTAAGAAAGTGACTGAATACACAGATGGGGGTGGGGGTGCTCCTTATGCAGCGTCTCCCCTTCACTGGAGCAGCACCTCAGCTTCAGCACTGGCCATGAGCAGAGTTGAATATAAGTAGATGTTCAGATTGCTTTAGCGGCTGATCCTGGATTCCTACCTCAGGAAGGGTTTAGAGGAGGGAAAGCCCAGGTTCACAAGGAGTCATTTTTCCAGACTCACGTTGTTTCTGTCTGTCATCTTCTAGGTAAAGTGTGACCATTATTGGCCAGCAGACCAGGATTCCCTCTACTATGGGGACCTGATCCTGCAGATGTTCTCAGAGTCTGTCCTGTCTGAGTGGACCATCCGGGAGTTTAAGATATGCACTGTATGTTAGCTTGCTTTACTTCATTTAACAACCCAGTGGGGGAGATCTGCTAATCCCACTTTTGATGGTTCTTCTCTTGCAGTTTCAGCCCATAGGCATTGCTCTTGGTCAGTTGTCAAGTTTGAAGGTTCCTCTTACTATCCTGCTCTCTGCTCTACAGGAGGAACAGCTCGATGCACAGACTCATCCCCGCTTTCTTTTTCTTTTCTTTTTTTTTTTTGAGATCGAGTTTTGCTTGTGTTACCCAGGCTGGAGTGCAATGGCCCGATCTCGGCTCACTGCAAACTCCGTCTCTGGGTTCAAGCAATTCTCCTGCCTCAGCCTCACGAGTAGCTGGGACTACAGGCATGCGCCACCATGCCCAGCTAATTTTTGTATATTTAGTAGAGATGGGGTTTCACCTCGTTGACCCGGATGGTCTCAATCTCTTGATCTCGTGATCCACCCGTCTTGGCATCCCAAAGTGCTGGGATTATAGGATGAGCCACCCCGCCTGGCCTCATCCGCCACTTTCACTATACGGTGTGGCCAGACCATGGAGTCCCGGAAACCACTCAGTCACTGATCCAGTTTGTGAGGACTGTCAGAGACTACATCAACAGAAGCCCAGGTGCTGGGCCCCTGTGGTGCACTGCAGGTACACAGAGATCTAGGAGCCAAACAGCAGCCTTATGGGGGTTGTGCCTAGGAGCCTCTGTCTTTGCTTGAGATACAAAGGGATGCAGGTCTTCACAATGTTTGATGACTGTATCAAACAGCAAGCATTTCTAAACAAAGAGGCATTCATCAAGAGACTTGTGAGCATTCCTCCTCCTTTATACTGCTTTGAGGGAAATTTGCAGCTTGACCTTTACTCACTCCAAGTCCCTTCATCAATATATGATCATATGGCCAGGCACAGAGGCTCACATCTGTAATCGCAGCATTTGGGAGGCTGAGGCAGGAAAATCAGTTGAGCCTAAGAGTTTGAAACCAGCCTGGGCAACTTAACGAGACCCTGTCTCGCTTCTGGAGTCCCCACAGTGTGTGCCAAAAATGTCGCAGGACTTTTCCTTATTTCAGCTAAAGTTGGGGTTCTTGTCCGTCCCACAGCCACAAACATTTAGACTCATAGATGGTTTAAAGGGTAAGTAAAGCAGGATTTTATTGGGTGAAAAGGGGAAACAGGGACTCTCACAAGGCCAGAGTCCTTCTGAACGTCCTATTTTTAATTAGATAAATTTATAGACCACATCAGAATGCAATGAAACTTAGTGCCCAGCTAAGTAAGTCATTTGATAAGTTTTGTCTGATAAATGTGTTTGGAAAAGAAACACATTGTATGCAGGCAAAAAGAGTGTAACTCTGGCCGGGAGCGGTGGCTCACGCCTGTAATCCCAGCACTTTGGGAGGCCGAGGCGGGCGGATCATAAGGTCAAGAGATAGAAACCAGCCTGGCCAACATGCTGAAACACCATCTCTACTAAAATACAAAAATTAGCTGGATATAGTGGCGCAGCCTGGAGTACCAGCACGGGAGGCTGGCAGGGAGAATTGCTTGAACCCAGGAGGCAGAGGTTGTAGTGAGCCGAGATGGTATGGTACCTCTGCACTCCAGCCTGGCAACGGAAACGAGACTCTGTCTTCCAAAAAAAAAAAAAAAAAGATTGTAACGAATATTCAAACTGAAATACTTGTACATTTTAATATGAGAAAAATTAGAATCGAGACAGTTCATTTGTCAGAATTTGCTTCCGAGCACACCATGTCTCTCAGCTCCTGAAGAGGTTTTTCGCTATAAAAATTCCGTAGTCTAACAGCAGGAACAGCTACATAATTTGCAGGGCCCAGTGCAAAAATGAAATGTAGGATCCTCTGTTCAAAAATTATAAAGAATTTCAAACTGAGGACAGTCAAACATCCATCCAGTGTGGTCCTTGTGAGTGTGGAGCCCTGTATGGCTGCATAGGTCACACAGGACCTGTGTCAACAGACAAGAGTCAGTTGCCGTGATGGTCACTTTACATTTATTGACAATGAAGTGCAGTTTATAAATTTTTTGAATATTATTGAGAAAGACCTTATTGCGGAAAATATCAGTGATGTTAGATAGAGGTAGATTCAGCTAAGAAAGGAATTACAATACATGACTATATACCAAGAATAATGTCTTAGCCCACTCAGGCTGCCATACAAAATACCATGGATGGGCAGCTTAAACCACACAAGTGTATTTGCTCCTAGTTCTGGAGGCTGGAAGTCCAAGATCAGGAATGCCAGCACAGTGGCTTTTGGTGATGGCTCTCTTTCTGGCTGTAGACAGCCACATTCTGCTGTGTTCTCACATGATGAATAGGGATCTCTCTTCCTCTTCTTATAAGGCCACAAATTATATCAGATTACGGTCCCAATTTTATAACCTCATTTAACCTAAATTACCTCCTTGTAGGCCCAACTCTAAACCTGATTACAATGGAGGTTAGAGCTTCAACATATGAATTTGTGGAGCGGGGGGCACAATTCTGTCCATAGCAATAATTATTCTATACTTTAAAAATATTTAATAATCAAGATATGTTTTTAAAAATGGATTTTAAAAAAATAGATGTGTTTAATCTAATCTTTTGAAGAAATTGTATTTCACGAGAATTATTTTAGGTCTTCTTTAATAAAATCACTCTGGCAGTTAATAATTTTTTAACTTCGTAAAAAAAATTGACACCTATGCAACAATCTGCAAGATCTGTACATGTACCTGGAACTTAAAGTACAATAAAAAAAAGAAAGAAATTGACAAGTGAAAATTGTCTAGACCTTTAATTGTATGTGTCATGGTGTACAATGTGATGTTTTGATATATGGATACATAGTAGTGAAATGGGAAAAGTTCCCCTGCTCCCCTCCAAGGGCATGCAATGCTGCTCAAACCTTTAGGGGAGCATACAGACAGGCAGGCTGTGAGGATCTGACCCCATGGCAGTGTCTAGGGGTGAATGTTTACACATCCTGAAGCCCTAGTTGGTGTGTGTTACAGGGTGCCCTTTTAGTTTAGCCGTCTGTAGGTGGCTTGTATTAACCCCCTCAATCAGATCCCCGCCTTATCAAAAGGTCAGAGGGCTTTCTGTATCCCGGAGTCCTTGCCTTGGTGTACCAGAAGAATCCAATTGCATGTGGGCTTGGAGAGTGAGTACATGGTAAGCCTGGCAACCCAGCGGTTCTCTGACTGCCCCGGCCAGACTCCGCCAAACTCTTCGTGGTCCTGCTGGTTGATGGCCTGCCCTCATGCCATGCCTGTCAGTGCGTTGCTCTCCACGTCCAGCTGCTGTGTGTTCCACCACAGATGTGCTCCTCTCAATGTCCAGCCACCTGTGTGTCTGCCTGCTAGGGTCTCGGGGTTTTTTATAGGCACAGGGTGGGGGTTGTGGCAGGCCAGGGGTGGTCTTGGGAAATGCAACATCCCAGGCGGATAACAAAAATGCCTGTCCTTAACTAGGTCCGTGGGTCCAGGCCCAGGGGTGGAGCTCTAGCCAGGAGAACCCACGCCTTTCCCTCCACATCATTTAACGAGAGGACACACTTCCATATCAGTGGAATGGCTAAAACAAGTTAATTCACATATGCATTACCTCATCTATGTATTTTTTTGAGGTGAGAATGTCAGAGTTGGTAGTTAGATGTGAGCAGGGCATGCAAGGGCCCCCAAGAATGTTGGGCATTTGTCAAGCCACGGTCAGACTATTATAAATCTGTCCCTCTGAAATAACAAGCAGGACAAGGAAGGGACCCCAGAGCTGTCTGGTTCTCATTGAGGTGGGGACAGGAGGGCATAAAACTATCCCTCCATGGCAGAGACCCAGTTCACTACTACGTTAACACTGCCGTGAGCCATGTGCTGCTCGGACAGGGTGTGCTGGCAATCAAGGTGAAGATCATCTGCCCTGGGACCCAACTGGTAAGATTGGCCCTAAGAAACCCCTGCCTGACCATGTGAGCAAGGTGGAACCCAAAGATGAGATACTGCCTACCACCTCCATCTCAGAACAGAGGGTGGGAAGCCAGAGCCGCCTGCCATGCCAGTCCCCACAGCGTAACAGGGTCTCCTTGGCAGCTGCATTCTGGAGTCTGGATGTTGCTCTGTAACGACATTTAATAAAATCTTGTACAAAGACAAAAAAAACCCACTATCCCTCTAGAGTAATAAGTGGCCATGACTGGCCCTGGGAATAACAGGAGCCTTGCAACAGACAGAAGACACCTGGAGTTAGCAAGCCACAGTCCCAAACAAGGTTTTGAACATCTGCAGTAAAATAGCAAGGTGTGAAATTTGCCCGATATATGACCTTCCTCTGGGGTCGCTCGACCAGTAAGGGAGAATTGCCTCTAATGGACATGCACATGACTTCAGTGAATATACTGCACCTGGGTCTCCTCCCGAACATCCTGTGCCTACTGCCAAGGCCACTGGGCATGCAGTAATTGAAGGACAGCCCACTCAGGGGAAGAACGAAGAGTGGAGACAGAGAGCCTGGAAAAGAGTAAGGGGTATAAACTGTAAGCAGGTCAGGCACGGAGGCTCACAGCCTGAAATGCCCAGCACTTTGGGAGGTTGAGGCAGGCAGATCACAGGTCAGGAGTTCGAGACCAGCCTGACCACATGGTGAAACCCCGTCTCTACTAAAAATACAAAAAAATTAGCTGGGACGTGGTGGCTGGCACCTGTAATCCCAGCTACTCGGGAGACTGAGGCAGGAAAAATCGCTTGAACCCGGGAGGCAGAGGTTGCAGTGACCTGAGATCAAGTCCTTGCACTCCAGCCTGGGTCACAGTGAAAGACTCCATCTCAAAAAAAAAAAAGAAAAGAAAAGAAAAAAACTGTAAGCAAAGAAGTGGAAGAGGCACTTGAATTCTCAAGTCTCCTGTTTGACCCGCTTCCAATTCCAAATCTACTTTCTCCAATAAACTCTCACATTTCTTAAAATAGACGTTCCCTGGTGCTTTAAACCTTGCCTGTGTCTCTCATTTGAATTCTTTACTTCAAAAGTACAAAGGACCAAGATGGCTGCAAGGTCGCCACTCCCGAGTTCCTCCAGGTAGCTGCAGACACACAGTTAACAAAAACACTCCAAATGTCTTAGGCATTTTCAAGTATATACTACGTTGTTTTTAATTGTAGCCATCATGATTTACAATAAATTTAAAAAATAATAAAACAAACCACGTTGGGTGTGGTGGCTACTTGCCAGTAGTCCTAGTTACTTGGGAGGCCGAGGTGGGAAGATTGCTGGAGCCCAGGAGTTTGAGGTCAGCCTGGGCAATATAACAAGACCCCATCTCTAAAAGTAAATAAATAAAACCTTATGTTTATTTCCCCCGTTTCATTTTCAGATTTCCCATTTTGGCTACACTACATATGTGGCACATTATAGAGAAATACACAGCAGTCCCTCCCTTATCTACAGGGGACATATTCAAAGATCTCCAGTGGATGCCTGAAACCATGGATAGTACTGAATCCTATACATACGTGTTTTTTTCTATACATATATATCCATGATAAAGTTTAATTTATAAATTAGCCACAGTAAGAGATTAACAACTCACAATAAAATATGAGTTAAATTCATATGCAATATGATATATGCAATCAAATTGAATATGGTCAAACTCTGTAAAGTATTTGAAGAGATTTATTTTGAGCCAAATGTGAGCGACCATGACATCTGACACAGCCCCAGGAGATTCTGGAACATGTGCCCAAGGTGGTGGTGTGGGGGGCTTCCAGGTCATAGGAGGATTCTAAGATTTATTGACTGTAAATTGGTTGAACATTTATCTAAAGATCTGAAATCAATAGAAGGGAGTGTGTAGGTTAAGATAAGGGATGTGGAGACCAAGGGTCTTATTCTGTAGATGAAGCCTCCAGGTAGCAGGCTACAGAGGGAATTGGTTGTAAATGTCTCTTATCAGACTCTCTTGGATCAGGAGAAAGACCCAGAAAGGGAAAGGGATTCTCTACAGAATGTAGATTTTTCCCACAAGAGGCAGCTTTGCAGGGCCATTTCAAAATAGGCCAAAGAAATACATTTTGGGGCAAGATACTTCAATTTCTTTCAGGGCTGCTATCTGTCATGTTAGTAGCTTATTGCTGTTTTGTTAGTGTTAAGGTCTGTTTTAATGTAACGCTGGTCAGCTGTGCCTGAATTCCAAAGGGAGTGAGACGTCAGTCACACCTGCAGAGGTCTGTCCTGCAAACCCTGACTCAATGACAGATGAATGAATACACTCACACACACTAGAATACCATGAATCTGAGTGGGCCAGGGATGGTCACTGGCTGCTTTCAGAGGGCAACTGCAGCTAACCAACCATAACTCCCTGTAACTCCTCACATTTATTCAGGATAGATTTAATAACAGAGGTTCTAAGTCAACATGCATGTGGATAATTAACATGATTGAAAGAGTGGTTTTAAGAATGATAAAAGCTTTAGGTTCCAGGGTCCAGAGTAAACACCATTAACCTGTAATTCTCTTTTGATCTCCCCCTGAGAGGACCATCCAGCACTAAGTTTACATGAGCAAACAAATTAGAATGGAGACAAAGGAATGTGGGGTAACAGACTTAACTGGGAAGCTTTTATTGTCCCTATTTTTCACCCTATGCTAATATAATAAACTGGCTTCCTTCAGCCCATTCCATTAGAACCTTTCAGCCTTCCAAAAGGTTTGAGACTATAATCTTCTAACTTTCTTTAATATTTCCCTAATATTTTGCCAGCCACCCCAAGTGAATCTCAACAGGGGAGGAAGGTAAACCGAGGCATGTCTGACCCCTCCTCCCTACTTCACATCATGGCTTGAACTCGTGTTCAGGTTTACTTTAGAATGCCCTTGGCCAAGAGGAGGGGTCCATTTGGTTGGTGGGCTTAGAATTTTATTTTTGGTTTACAATAACACGCTGTAATAAAAGTTACGTAAATATACGCCAGGTGCGGTGGCTCACGCTTGTAATCCCAGCACTTTGGGAGGCCAAGGCAGGTAAATCACAAGATCAGGAGTTCAAGACTAGCCCGGCCAACATGATAAAACCCCGTCTCTATTAAAAATTTAAAAATTAGCCAAGTGTGGTGGTGCACACCTGTAATTCTAGCTACTCAGGAGGCTGAAGCAGGAGAATTGCTTGAACATGGGAGGTGGAGGTTGCAGTGAGCCAAGATCACAACATTGCACTCCAGCCTAGGGGACAAAAGCAAAACTCTGTCTCAAAAAAAAGGTCATGTAAATATGATCTCTTTCTCACACACACAATACCGTAGTCACATATTTTTGGACCATGGGTAACTGAAGATTGGACAGTGAAACCTTCAATAAGTGTTAGCCACTGTGTAGGGGCCATGTAGGGTTTGTGGAGTCCTAATGAGGGAAAAGGAGTCAGGCTGGCAGGACCGGGGAAAGCAAAGGAAAGTAGATAAGCTATAAGCTATAGGTTTGCTTTTCCTTATGGCCCAGGACATACGGCCCTCCTGCGCAAATAATGTACATAACTCACAAACTTCCTGCTTTTACCATCAAACACCTCGGCTGACAGAAGAGTCCCTATCTTTTGCCCTATGCTAGTGAGCTGCCTGCTGCCTTAGCCTTATCAATCGGCCCAAGAACCACCCTATAAAATCCTCAGAAAGCCTTCGTTCCCTTGCAGTCAGCTCCTCTCCTGCTGATTCTGCCCATTTCGACCTTATGATGTATATCCTACTTTCCCTAATAAATCTGCCTTTTTTAACATACAACTCTCTTGGGAAATTCTTTTCTCCTAGCACCACTGGCCCTGTTAGTTGCCGCTCACCCACAATAGGGTTCACTTATGGAAAAAAAATACCACAAGTTCTGACTATGTTTTCAGAAAAAATTGCAGGTTGTTCTTTAATCAGATTTCTGCTGTGTGCTTATCGGTTTCCTCTAAGAACAAGGGGGAAAGGAAGTGTTATTTCTGAAAAGGATATTTTTAATGGCCTCCAAGTTCACTGAGAAGCCATAGCACTTAACTTTCAGCCTTCACTTCCTTTGCAGCCCCTCACCTTTTAGCAAAGTCTCATAAGCGTGCATCTGCTGCCCTGAGCACAGAGACAGGGGCTGGGGGACAAGCACAGGCGGGCCTAAGGAGCTAAATCCCCAGCTGCCCTTGACCACCAAGAGGCTGTGTTTTAACAGCTAAATTAGGAGCTTCTGGGTTTTAATTAAGAAAGCGGAAATTTTGCCAGCTCAATTCTGTAATCCCAGCACTTTGGGAGGCCAAGATGGGTGGATCACCTGAGGCCAGGAGTTTGAGACCAGCCTGGCCAACATGGTGAAACTGTATCTCTACAAAAACAATACAAAAGTTAGCCAGATGTGATGGCGCAGGCCTGTAATCCCAGCTACTTTGGAGGCTGAGGCACAACAATCACTTGAACCGTGGAGGCGGAGGCTGCAGTGAGCCGAGACTCTGTCTCAAAATAAATAAATAAATATAAATATCTTTCTGATTACACAAGAACACATGTTTACAATGGAAAATTTAAAAGTTAAACCAAAATCACCCCAATGTCTTCTTGTGCCATTTCATAAACGATGTAGAGGGATTACTCAGATGGTTGTGCCTTTTGCTGTCTTGTCATAAAATTAAGAATGACAGATGACCCTTCAAAAGTGATGTCACAGACAGCTAAGAGGCGGTAACTCAGCGGGGACCCGGGAGCATCCCAGAGTGGGTTGCGTGGTGCTGGTTCTCTCCCCCTGTCAAGGTCAGTAACACATGGGACCCTGAATGTTCATCTTTCCACACTATTGATATAGCCCTTACCCTGGGGAAAGGGATGGATACCATAAAACCTGGATGGTTAGACAATTCCACTTACCCCACTCCCTGTCCGCATCCCTGCCTCTAAGCAAACCCCAAGCAAGGATGTGGAGCAGGTACCTCTCCCCAGGAACCAGACACAGGGCGGTGGCTGCCAGCTGCAGTGCAGAGGCCCTCTCTGTGGTACTCGAAGCATCATATAACTGGATCCTGCCCCACCCTCGGAGCCCTTGTTCCAAGTCCTCTTGTCCCCAGTCTTTAAAAAATACCAAGAACGGGCTGGCCACAGTGGCTCACACCTGTAATCCAAGCACTCTGGGAGGCCCAGGCGGGAGGATCACAAGCTCAAGAGATCAAGAGCAGCCTGGCCAACATAGCAAAACCCCGTCTCTACTAAAAATGCAAAAATTAGCCAGGAGTAGTAGTGGGTGCCTGTAGTCACAGCTAGTTGGGAGGCCGAGGTAGAAGAATTGTTTGAACCCGGGAGATGGAGGTTGCAGTGAGCCGAGATCACACCACTGCGCAGCCTGGATGACACAGAGATATTCTGTCTCAAAAAAAAAAAAAAAAAAAAAAATGCTGTGCAGAGGATGGAGTATGAGGGACAAAACCAGCATGACCCAGCCCTTTTTGCCCCTGCTCTCCCACTCATCCCTGCTACGTTTCCTGCTGCTCCTGACTCCTATCTGTCACCCCAGCCTGGACACTAAGGGAAAGAGGAGCAGGAAGAGTGAGGGCACATTTGTACCAGGTCAAGGAGGGGGATCAGGCTCCACTGTCTGAAAAAGAAGCCCTTCCTGGCTCTCTGGAACGCTGCGTGGCTCCTGCATTTGAGCCTAACCCGTCCATCTGCTCCTGCATGGCTGTGTGCCGGGATCACATTACCAGCAATCAACACAAATGGCCCCAGAAATTGTAGCTGTCTTTTCTGTAACACTTGAGTGAAACAGAAAGGCACCTGGTGCTGACTCGTGAGGTCGAAGTCGCTGTAAACTCTGTTGCTATAAATGGAACACTAATATCATTTGACACTTTCAGAAGTGGGCAGTATGTATGTGAATGGGTATGTGATCAACCAGTCCCCAGGGAAGCAGAAACACCCATGGGGCAGGAGACTACTGCCACCTTCATCTGGTTCACCTGCTCCCCCTCTCCATGCAGGCTTCCAGGGAGCTGGTGGCAGTTTTGGAATTGAACTCTCTGCACCTCCTTGTAGCACCTCACA